TATATAGTCTTAAGATGTATTTATGGGATAAAGTGTTCAATATCAGAGATAGAGCGTGTAAAAATAAAAGTGAACATACAAGGCAACACTTAGAGGCGACAGTCTGTTTCATGCTAGATGCAATCGTCAGGCCACTTTTATATATATATATATGTGTGTGTGTGTGTGTGTGTGTGTATGCGCGTGTGTGTGTGCGTGTGTGTGTGTATGAGCCAACGATTAGCATGAAACAGCCTGTCGCCTCTAAGTGTTGACTTCTATGTTCAGTTTTATATATATTTTATATATTTCCTCATATATATATATATATATATATATAAACATTAAAGTCAACACTCAGAGGCGATAGGCTGTTTCATGCTGGTCGCATTTGTCAGGCGGCTGAGGATTGCGTCCAGCATGAAAGAGCCTGTCGCCTCTGAGTGTTGACTTCAATGTTCACTTTTAGAAGACTATATTTCTTCATATATATATATATATATATATATATATGAGCCAAAGGTAGGTTTCCACTCAGTAGGAATGCACTTTACATTTTTTTATGACATTTATATTTCGATGCATTTAACATTGTACTTACATTTTTTTACAGTTTAATGTCTTAAGTCATCCAAATGCCTCCTTCAACATTGCAACATTCCTTGAAGCTCTCCACAACACGGCACAAATTCCGATCGGCATCAATTTCAATAAATTCATCTGAAATGTACTCTTTTAATTCGTCCACTGTGTGGGGATTTCTCTCATAAACCTTGTTCTTTACTACCCCGCTCTAAAAAAAAGAAATCCATTGATGTTAAGTCAGGTGAACATGGTGGCCATTCGATGCTCCGCCTTCTTCCGGACCAACGCTGTAGAAAGGTTTGCTTAACGTAGTTGCTTATTGCCAAACGATAATGGGGAGGTGCTTCATCTTGTTGGGAGAACAGTTCGGCGTAGTTAGCTCTGGTTCTGAGATGTAATTGAAAACGTCAGACAAATAGTGAGACAAATGTATGTCTACTTTTCGCACTCTGTCTCTCTCTCTCTCTCTTTCTCTCTCTCTCTCTCTCTCTCTCTCTCTCTCTCTCTCTATATATATATATATATATATATATATATATATATATATATATATATATTGTGTATATATATATATATATATATATATATATATATATATAGTTTTAAGGTGTACTATATTTATGGGATAAAGTGTTCAATATCAGAGATAACGCGTATGGAAATATAAATATAAGTGAACATTGAAGTCAAACACAGAGGCTACAGGCTGTTTCATGCTAGACGCAATCTTATATATATATATATATATTATATATATATATATATATATATATATATATATATATGAAAATAATCCCCACTGGAGGATGAGATCAGTATTCAGGACCAACCAAAAGTTAAAACATCACAATTTGTATTTTTCGATTTTTAGACACTTCATTTTAAAACAACTTTCGTTCTGTAATTTGATCAATACAGTCTTAACCTCTAAGGTTAACCGTTATCTATCCTATATGTCCTCATAAAGGACACTCCTTACCTTTATTCAACAACCTCAATCAGTAACCCTCTACCTTGTGTGGCTCTTGAACCTTGAATGGTGTGAACAGTTATTATATAAAAAAACTTTAGTGGGTGAATTATTTATTTCTACAACATTCCTCTACAGGATATGACTTGATTCAACCGATAACCTTTCAGCCTCTTGTCGTATATATTTGCCCATGGCATTAAAATAACTGATACACAATTCTAGAAAACATTATAAATATGCATTTGCAACGAATATTTAAAATAAATTAGCCAATTTTTCGGTTATATTTTATCTTTACTTCTTATCTTTTCCTTGGGAGACAATCTAAACGTCACGTATGACAGATAAGATGAAAATGATGTTCATTACAATGAAATTGAATTTTGTCGGCCCAAAATAATTAAATATAGTGATTTTCCAAGCGAAAATGTACCGAAAGTTTAAAGCACCTAGTGAGAATCGAACCCCCTACTCAGTCGTAAATGTTCTATCGAGACAAGCTTGATAACAATTACACCACCTCGAGGTGCCCTTTTTTTCTAAACGTAGCTTAGATGTGGCACTAGGCCGAAAGTGTGAAGCACCCAGTGAGGATCGAACTCACGACTCATTCGTAATTGTTCTAGCGTGACAAGTTGTCTAGCGTGACTTTTTTTCTAAGCGTAGCTTAGATGTGGCTCGAGGCTGAAGATAAATTTGCTAACCGGCTCGAGGTGCCCTAAAAATAATTACATATAAGTAGTAACGAATGGGAAGATTTTTTTCTTAAGAAAAATTTATTAAAAATGTCTAAAAATCATTTTGTTATTTATTCATGTTTAATAAAAATTATATTTAGACATCAGAAGTACAAGGGTAACCTATGTATTGTTTTCCTTTATCCAACTTGCCTTCAGTCTGCCCTTTGAGTATCAAATTTTCCATGCACCCTTTTCTCATTATGTACGTCTTTCTGATTTATACTCATTATAATTATACATAATTTTGTCTCATTTGTTTACAGTTTCCCTTTTCGCTCCTTGGCGTGTCTTTTTTGTATTCCTTTTCAGCTAAGTTATTGGGTTTATTTCCAAATTGATTAAAAGTTTTATCTGTGTCTGCCCCATTGATATATGAAATTCTACTGTGTCATGCTTAAGTTGATATCTTCTGAAATGCTATGTCCCTTCAGAACCTAGACGGTCACAGCCCTCCACAGATTCCGCTCCTTTATTAGTTGTGATTTACTATGGGAAAGCTAATGGAACACTTTCTGTTTGCCTTCTAAACAGTTTTGAATTTAGAGTGTCCTTTTCTCCTAGACTAGCTGCCATTTAAGCTTACCCTCGCTTTCCTTTTTCAAATGTAATCAGCATAACACAGTTCTGTTTATTATTTCTGAAATTAGTTTTGCTTATATTATTATTATTAGTAGTAGTATTAGTAGTAGTAATAGTAAGGTAGTAGTAGTAATAGCAGTCGTGAAATTCCCCGGTTTTTCTGTTTGCGTTTTGTTTTCTTTTTTCTCTTTTTCTCTCTTCTTCTCATTGAAATCAAACAGCCTCTCTGATATGTCTTTTTCGTCTTTCGACACGATCAAAACGAAACAGTCCATTATTTATGAGGTATAGGCAGAACATTTCTTTCTTTATTACTTCATTTCTTTTTCTCATTGAAACCAAGTAGCGCCTCTTATATGTTTTTTTCTTCTTTCTACACGATAAAAACGGAGTGGCCCATTAGACATGAAGTTATTGACAGGGCGTAACGTACGTGTTAAGTGAGGGCACAAGTAGAATTATAATAAGATTATTATTATTATTATTATTATTGGTAAGGTAGCAACACGTCAACAAGGTGACGCTGGTGTACCAATATCCGAAGCTCGATATACCCATCATGACAGTCGGCCTGATAAGTGTATACCAGGCACACGCATCACAATCAAATATGCACGATATGGTGACAGGTTTTGATAAAAGCAGCGTATAACCCTGCAGAATTTAATTAGAAATATCCTCAAGTCGGGGAAATCCAGTCTGTCCAAACTAAAGGTGTCTTTAGATGTCATGCTAAAGTTGCCTCTTCATCCCCTTTCAAACTTAAGAACAATAACCCTTCTAACACCTGGTTATGAGGGTAACCTCTTACACCCGCTAATGAGCAGAAACACACGGTGTGTCAACCCCTAATTGAGGTGGGGGACATGCACAATTAGCTAATGTCAAGTAACTGTCAAATAATCTCTACTACTGAGTGGGCGTCTTAATTCACTAAGACAAAACATATACATGTTACAACGTTCAGTTGATTAAAGACAAAATCGAAACAAGTCATCCCTAGTGTATCGTAAGGACAGTTATTATTATTTTTTATTTTTTTTTACTTGCATTTGTTGTACAATCACGTGCCTGATCATAACCAATGACCTAGGTCATAATCAATGACCTAGGTCATAACCAATGACCTGTGTCAAGCGAAGGTTATGATAGTTATTGTTTCCACTTCATTAAACAAAAGACAGCCGTTGACAAAAAATGGACAAAGCACACTTCAAGATATGGCCTGCGCTTTTTAGAATTATTTGTTTTAATTTCCCGGAGAGATGGTGAACCAGGGATTTTTTTTTATTTGTTCTTGAGTTCCTTTCTTTATTAGACCCAAAGCTCCAACCACAACAGTAACAGTTTTAGTTTTTAAGTGCCTCCTTTTTTTTCGATTTCCAGGGGTGGGGGTGTATTTGCTTGTTTTTTTTTTCAAAATCATTCACAGAGAATTTTTTGTTAGTTAGGATGCTCATGTCAATCAGTGGACAAAACTTTTCTTTTCTGTCCTTGGTAATAATGTCTGACGGATTTGCTTGGATTATTCGATCTGCATGGATAGAAAAATCTCAAAGGATTGTAACATCTTATCCTTTAACTACAGATTCAGGATGATGTTCATACTAGTTTCTAGCTGTTCTTATCCTGTAGCTATACCAGATCATCCAATGCAGATAGTGACCTACCCTGTCATGAAGGGTTTAGTATTAAACATCATAGGATATTATTATTAATGAGATCACCACCTGGAGTAAAGTGATGGCAAGTATTCATTAATCCCCGACACTCCTGGGTATGACGATAAACTACATCCGGCAGCAAGGCCTTGGATCAGTAGCTTTTGAAAAGCGTGGAACCACATCTTAATTGCTGATCATCCCAGGTCCACCCTGACCTGGTTGGTAGCACCTGTTAAGGTCCCAAAAAGGAGTCAAGTAAAAATACGTTTTAATAAAAATGTTGTTAGCATTAAATAATGTATTGAGGTTGATATACCGTAAAATAAATCAAACCATTTCACCCATAGTCACTCACTGCGTTTTTTTATTATTATTTAACAGGATGATGATATATTTTCGAACACAGATCCAGTTCTACGATCCGCGTCAAAACCGAAGCCTTATTGGCCATATTTGTTTCCGAATCAAGGAGTTTCGTGGATGCACGATAATGATCCCAGTGTGTGGGGTTCGAGCATTTTAGGTGAAGAAGAGAAAGAAATAAAAAAACAAAAGTATTTCTCCAGAAGAAGAATCGTCATCGTCTTTCTAATTATTTTCATCATTTTGGTTTTGGTAGCAGCAATTGCAACGGCAATCATTCTTTCCCAAAGAGAATCCACACGTAAGTAAAAATGTCTTCCAAGAATCTGTCTATATCTCTGAAATGAGGTATTATCATTACTTGCATTTTTTACATTATTAGGACTGTTATCCTCATCTTCATTCCCATATTCCCAACGTTTCGGCCGTTGTACGCTCCGGCCTTTAAGTCTATGTCTCTCTATATATCTGTCTATATCTCTGTGATGAGGTATTATGATTACTTGCATTATTTACATTATTCAGACTGTTATCCTCATCTTCATTGCCATATTCCCAACGTTTCGGCCGTTGTACGCTCCGGCCTTTATGTCTATGTATCTCTATATATTTGTCTATATCTCTGTGATGAGGTATTATGATTACTTACATTATTTACATTATTAGGACTGTTATCCTCATCTTCATTCCCATATTCCCAACGTTTCGGCCGTTGTACGCTCCGGCCTTTAAGTCTATGTCTCTCTATATATCTGTCTATATCTCTGAGATGAGGTATTATGATTACTTGCATTATTTACATTATTCAGACTGTTATCCTCATCTTCATTCCCATATTCCCAACGTTTCGGCCGTTGTACGCTCCAGCTTTTATATCTATGTCTCTCTATATATCTGTTTATATCTCTGAGATGAGGTATTACGATTATTTACATTATTCGGACTGTTATCCTCATCTTCATTGCCATATTCACAACGTTTCGGCCGTTTTTACGCCCTGTCTTCTTCGGGTGATTGGAATTTCGAACCGAACCCTTTATTTCGTCCACCAGAACAGAGTGTTCTAGTTCCACGGGCCATGCCTCTTCCGGATATCTTACTTATTTCCCTTTAACTCAGCTCTCCAAGTTTTAGTTCCGTGGATAAAGACGTTGGTTAGATCCAATGACTAGACCCAAAGAGCTGTGGGTTCAATACCAGGCCACAAATCATTTCAAATTAAATTCTCTAATTCATCTACATCGGTAGATTTCATTGTCTGATTCAGGATTATTCCACGGAACAAGAACCTGAAGTATTAAAACGCTATAAAACAACGGGTCAATGCGGTACCTACATTTATATCATAGCTGATTTCTGTTATTTACATTCGAACTAATGCCCTCAAAGTTTCGACCTTTTTATCGGCCAGCCTTCTTCAGGTGATTGCCCATCGGGGTAACCTTCAGGGGAACTCAACCCACGAGGATAGATCCTTCACGTTCCGCTATCTCATCAGAGAAGTTGCAGTGAAAATACTTATAGAAAAAACAGAGGGAAGCCACATCACGTCTGTGAGAAAGTGACTGTAGACGAGATGCAAGATCAGGACTTATCACAGTGCATATCCGTCTCTGGATTTTGTCGAGGACCTTAAGGATTCATTTAGCATTCATTGGCCGTATAGCCAGTGCTCAGTGCTATTTTCGATTGAAATTTTTCTATTCAGGCAATTTTTATTAATAAGAAAAAAAAACTGGTAACTGTCATCGCTCTTTCCAGTATTTATGGCGGTTTCCTTCCTAACCTTTTGTTTGAAGTAATGTGGAACATCAGCATATTGGTCACGTTATTATTTTCTCTTTAAGTTGCATGTACTAGCCACAAAATATAAACTTGTCATTTTCGTCAATTTTTCCATAAAAAACAAACACAGGTGTTACATTTTTTTTAAATTACAGCTGACATCGAAACAAGTGCTGAAATTTCTCCGTACTTTTTAAAATGGTAGAAACGTCATTAATACTATTATTCTCTTTCGTATGCCGAAATATCAGTTGTCATATTTAAATCCATTTTTACTTTTTAGAACCGACAGACGTGAAAATTGTCTTAAATGTACGATTGAACGAAACATACCGGACTGAATACAGTGACCTGAATGATCCAGTTACGAGAAATTTCACAAAGAGACTCACCTACGAGGTAAAGTTTGCCCTTCTTTCAAGTTACAGTGGACTAAAAATGCACCCAATTCCTTCTAACCACTTCCGAGTTTACAGAATCTTTTTATCACTGTTCCATTCTATTGGATTTGTTTATCTCCTTGCATGAAGAAAATTCAAACGTCCCCTATCTCTGAACTTTTGTCTCTCTCTCTCTCTCTCTTGCTCTCTCTCTCTCTCTCTCTCTCTCTCACTCTCTCTCTCTCTCTCTTACACTCTCTCTCTCTCTTACACTCTCTTGTGGAGAAAAAGTGTGCGAATGCGAAGAAAAAAATAATCTTCAAACACAGCTCTAAAAATTTAAATAAATTTTATTATTGAGTATTTTCTTTCAAATTGAAAGGAGGGAAATATTGTTGATCATTTTCTGTAGCAGACAGCGAAGATAGTTGTCATAACTTCGGTGATTGGTTAATAAATGCGAATGTGGAAATTCAAATCTGGACCCTTTTTTGCACAAAAATGAGTCAGTTGCGATTCTTTGGGTTATTATTTAAATGTATTAAATTTCCCAGCAATTTTTAACGGGGTCCCACACTCTCACTCTCACTCTCTCTTTCTCTCCTCTCTCTTTCTCTTTCCCTCTCTTTCACACTCTGTCCCTTTCTCTATCTTTTTCACAATCTCTTTCTTTCTCTCTTTCTCCCTCTCTCTTTCCCACTCACTCTCTCTTTCTCACTCTTTTCCACTCTCTCTGTGTCTCACTTTTTCTCTCTGCTGTGTTCCTGTGTTATAACTGGTTTACCCCTCTCCACTGTGCTTATATCATATCTCTTTATCCCTGAGTTTTATTCATAATCTCTTTTGTATGAGAGTTCAGCCTGAGAAGTCTCCCAACAAAAAAACAAAAAAAAGCAACCAGCTTCTTGTCGTTAAAACACAGCTACTTTATAATAAGTCTTTTTTTATTGTCAAAGCGGACAGCCAAATGCTGGCAACGAGCGACATAGTACCATTTACGTCAAACGACTAATTTCAGTAGATTAACACATTGAAATGTGTCTAAACGTCTTAAGCGACTTCTGTCTCTAATGATTTACTCCTGGCTTTACAGGTAGATCAGAAAATGAACACCAGCAACATTAGTAATGTCTACATTAGCTCCAAAGTAACGAACCTGAGGTAAGTGAATCAATATTTACTAATCTTCATTTAGAATGGTAGCAGACTAGCGGGGAAGAAAAGCTGGGCTACGAAAATCGTGTTATTCTAATCTTCCAAGTATGTCAGCCTAGAAAATCCGCACATATACATGTGTGTGTGTGTGTTCGTATGTGCATGTGTGTGTGTGTGTGTGTGTGTTTGTGTGTGTGTGTGTGTGTGTGTGTGTGTGTGAATGATATATAAGCAACAAAATAGAAAATTGTCTTGTGACGCGTTTCGTACAGAATGAACGTCTTAAGATGAATTGTTTTTGATAAAATCAATTCTACTGCATTCCCTGATAAAAATAATTCTAGTATATTCTACTATATTCCCTGATAAAAAAATAAGAGACAAAAAATACAAAAAGGCCAGCAATAGTTTACATCGAAACGTTAAAGATGGTCAAATTTAAATTAAAATTTTGACGTCTGATATAACTAAATTTCAAGTAGCTAAATAGAATATAAGTCTAAATTTAAATACATCGGGTATCATAATTTCAAAATAAAAGTTGAGTGCCTATGTTTCTTTGAAGTTGTCACGTAAACTGCAGCGAGCGTTCATTTCATTTTATTTTATTTTTTTTATCCGTTTTTCTTTATAGGTACCTCGGATTAATTTATTAAATTTTTGAAGACCTTCCTTCTGAACAAAACGTGTCAAAAAACAATTTTTGCGTCTCGTCAATTTTTAATCTAGCCAATTTCATTTAGATTCAGTTTCTTTTTTTTACCATCACTTTTGTTAGTAGATATCCCACACTGTGATAATAAAAGTTATGCCAGGAATGGTAAAATGTTGTAAGAGCTCGGGCGCAAATTTACTATGGCTGATTTTGCGATCAACGCATTCTTTAGACATTTTTGTCGTCGTGAATAGTTTTCTCCTTTGATCAGAATAGCATTTTTTTTATGCTAAAATTGGGATCAGTCTTTTTACGGTGGGCAACCAATGCATTTGATGTATTGTTTGGTAAAATGTCTTTTTTGTGTCCATATAATCTTTTATTTAGATTCCTTGAGGTTTCTCCTATGTATTTTTTCTGACAATTATTATTCAGACGATCGAGTAAATTCCTCCTTCAAGTTTTAGCTTATTGTTTTGTTTAGTATTGACTATGTCTTTTATTGTCGTAGATGTGGTAATAACGAATTTTATGTTGAGTTTAGATACATTCTTTCCAATTGTAGATGTGGTAGAGTTAGTTGATAGGACAATTTATTTTTTTCATTGGGTTTGTCAGGAGGGGCTGTTTTTCGTTTTTCTATTTTGGAATATTTTATGAGCCTTTTATTTCGCATTGAATATATACTATATATATATATATATATATATATATATATGTGTGTGTGTGTGTGTGTGTGTGTGTGTCTGTAAAATAGTTTTACTATGTGTAGTATTTAATTCACGTCAATACCTGAGGTCTGAATCGAATATAACGTCAATCAGAAACCTTTCTTCTAAGAGGAGTTGATCTGTGGTGAATCCAATATGTACTGGGGCCACCCTAAGAGATACTAAAGCAAGCTTTGTACTCAGTGTCGCCTCAGAGTGTTGGCCTAGAAGGCAGCCTCAATGACACCAATGTCAGAATCGAGTCTTAAAAGATGCCAGTCACTGCTCCCAACATACGAACAGCAAGTTCATCTGATTAAACTTTGTATGTACACACAAAGTCAACTGGGTGACAGGAGGTCATATAAATACCGCAGGTGCGAGGGAAACGCGAGAGTACCTCAGATTCTCGCACGAAAATTCGAGCGTTCATTCCCGAAGCCACATACCCGAATAGCAATCCTCCATGTTTGTTACAATGACTTAGAAAATGTATGAATACATCACTTCCCCCAATTATGGGTTAAATAGTAGTACCAGTATCAGGAAAAATCAGCTATTCTCGGAAAGTTTTAATGCCCTATTCACTCGCGGAAAAGGGTTTTTTATTCTTACAATCCAAAATATATTTTGGTTTTCAGTAACTTATAAAGGGTTGATAAACTTCTCCTCCAACAGTTTCTTTTCTCGCACTTCCCGCCTGTGGAACTCTCTTCCGTTGACTAGCTTTCGCGACAAATACAATCTTCAAAAATTTAAATGCAACGTCAATCGCCATCTTCTTTCTTCTAGAAGCCAGTTTATCTTTTGTCCTTTCATCAATTCCCCCTATACTCAGGATTTTTCTCACTTTCACTCTCTGTAACCCCCTGCATACTAGTAGCATTCCAGCCTTGCTTGGGGCGAAATGATTTTTAAAAAGCCGTAAAAAAACAAATCAATCAATCATGGCTGGCCATAATTTAATGGAATAAAGTCTTGAATAAACAATAATTTTACATATGAAAGATTTAATTTCGTATTTTTATTGTTCCGTGCGTATTCAATATTTTCTGTAATATTTTTTTTTTCTTTTATCAAGAAACGGTTCGGTAATTGCAGCCTTTCTGATGCTCTTTAAGGAAGAAACTCCCACAGATATCCCAGGAACAAAAGTGAAGCCGGCGGAAGTCGCGAATCTTTTAACGAAAAGTAACTTGAATTTTCTCGAGAAACCAACTGCTTGTTATACGGGTGAGTGAATAATTTTGATTATGTTCGTTCTTCGACTCTACGAAGCCTCGATCCTTCGACTCTACGAATCGACAAGTTTCTTGGCTACGTCCAACTGCATAGTTCAGAGAATCCCAAACAGAACGGCGCACCTCACTGGTGCGGCGAAATAGGATATTAAATGAGGCGAAATGATTGAAAGACAATCAAATATTTAAGAAAAAAATTCAAAACATTCATAAACGAAAAATAAATATGATTTCAAAATTTTAAATATTATTATGGATTACTTGTAATTACATTCATGACTAAATAAAATATAAATAGTTCATATAATTCAGATTCAGAATAAATAGTTAAATAAATAGTTATAAATAATAGTTATAAATAATAGTTAAATAAATAGTTATAAACAATAGTAAAATAAATAGTTATAAATAATGGTTAAATAAATAGTTATAAATAATAGTAAAATAAACGGTTATAAATAAATAGTTAAATAAATAGTTATAAATAGAAGTTAAATAAATAGTTATAAATAATTCATGACTAAATAGTTATAAATAATTCAATAAATAGTTATGAATATTTATTGCCTGATTTTATCGTTTGATATTTTTGCATTATAACAAGTATTAAGAATATAGTAACTAGGGTCCGCAACTTGGAGGAGAGAGTTATCAATGATAATGTTCTGAGTTCAAACTTGAAGTTATATCCCTTTAACTCTCTCACTGTTTTTTATGTTTAAATGTACTTTTTATCGCATAAAATTTGGTGAGGCGCGAGTAAATTTTAATTCCTAAAATGCGACCCAGAGAAAAAAAGTGGTTGGAAAACTCACCATCTGCGCCATTATTTGACAGCAAAGCATGCTTCCGTTGTCTCAATGCCAAAAGTTGTCTTTTGAGTCTGTGGATATGTCTTTTCAATGAACTCATGATTTCATTTGTTCTCCCATCTGCGACTTTCGATTGGCGCGTAACCTTCAAATGCCAAAATTTCTATCACTGTTAATAATTTTTTTTTTTTTTTTTTTTTTACAAAACTGTGTTACTGGAAATGTTACTCTTTAAATGATTTTTTTTTTTTTTGACGATATCTTCGTTGTTTAGGGTAATTCCTATCAACATACCTTAACATCTCTATTTCTTTCCGGAAATACTAGCTAAATTATTGGTGATATATTTCGAGGAATCCTACCTATACTTAGGAAATTATTTAGGGAAATCCTACCTGAATTGGGATAATTGCATTATAAACATCCTAGTTGAATTAGGGTCAATTCTTACGAAATATCCTAGCTTAATTAGGATCAATTCTTTCTAATTAGCCGAACTGAATTAAAATGATTCCTTTCAGGACATGTGTAGTTGAATTAAGTGATTTCTTTCGGACATCATAGCTGCATTAGAGTTATTACGTCCAGGATATCCTAGCTGAGTTACGCTTATGGCTAATTTCGGGATCTCCAAGCTGAATTAGCGTGATTCATTTCTAGACATCCTAGCTGAATTTGCATGATTTATTTCGGAACGTCCTAGCTGAATACGGATGATTTGTTTCGGGACATCCTAACTGAAATTGCGTGATTCCTTTCGGGATACCTGAAATGAATTATTGTGATTTCTTTCGGAACCTTCTAACTGTATTAAAATTATATCTTTCGAGACCTCCGAGCTGGATTAGGGTGATTTTTTTTAGATCTCCAAGGTGAATCAGGGTGATATTTTCGGTACAACCTTGCTGAATTGGGCGATTCATATATGTACATACGATCCATACTAATATTTAAATTCTGATATTCCCAAATAAGTTTCTAAGTAACAGTGAAAGACTGAATTAGATTCCTATTTATTTACTCCTGATCTCAGCAATTACCTTGTCGCGACTGATCTGGTGCAAATGTCAGTCAGCGACGTTGGTCCTCTTGAGTTTTGAGCAAGTTTTGATCAGCTGGCAATCTCAGAGATTAGAGCCATCAGCAATAACCTGCTTTCTGAGTGGATATTGGCCAATTAATTCTATTATTCGGGACATGGTGCTTCAGTTGCCGGTGTTGAACTGACTGCCATGCGTGACCCTACCAAGTACTGACGTCCCCGCTGTGTAGTTCTCGCGTTGAGTTGCGCAATGGGTTTAAAGGAATTTTCTAAACATTATTATCTAAATGATGATAAATTAACCATAGCTTGTCACAGTGAGGAACAAACGCATATTAATAGTAATTGCCCAGTTTTCTAATCCTATTAAAGCCAAAGAGAAATCATTTTATTCGACAAGTCCTGGGTCCAATGCATAGAAAAGTGTTTCAAATGGAATCATTATCATTTTCGTGATATCTGCGAAGAGTGGCACGCCATCTTTTCTTGAAATATTCATGCAAAATGGTATTTATCCTGCAATTTAATGAATGACAAATTGCTAAAAACAGCATCCATTACTAAACATTGTTTGTTATTGTAGACGACGCCAACACAGAAAGGATCTGCAATCCCAAAACAACACCAGCAGCAACGGTAACAAATGCGATCCCCACTTACAAGACAACGTTGAAAGCTCAGGGCACTACAGTCGAAACCTCTGCTCCATCTACAGCGACAGATTCAAATATTCAACCCGTTACTTCTTCAATATTTTCAAGCAACAATGATGTAACTACTACTGTTCTGTTAAGCACAACGCAAATTGCTACCGTTACAGGCGAAATTAATTCATCATCTACTCCGACAGATTCAACCAATGTTGTAAGTACTTCTGATGCATCAACCACACCACAAATTACGTCTACTACAGGCGGAACTGTTGCATCATCCACACCGACCGATTCAACCACACAATCAGTGACTTCACCTACACTTACAAGCACCAATGTTGTAAGTACTTCTGATGCATCAACCACACAACAAATTACGTCTACTACAGGGGGAACCGTTGCTTCATCCACACCGACCGATTCATCCACACAATCAGTGACTTCACCTACACTTACAAGCACCAATGTTGTTAGTACTTCTGATGCATCAACCACACCACAAATTACGTCTACTACAGGCGGAACCGTTGCATCATCCACACCGACCGATTCAACAACACAATCAGTGACTTCACCTACACTTACAAGCACCAATGTTGTAAGTACTTCTGATGCATCAACCACACAACAAATTACGTCTACTACCGGGGGAACCGTTGCTTCATCCACACCGACCGATTCAACCACACAATCAGTGACTTCACCTACACTTACAAGCACCAATGTTGTAAGTACTTCTGATGCATCAACCAAACCACAAATTACGTCTACTACAGGCGGAACCGTTGCATCATCCACACCGACCGATTCAACCACACAATCAGTGACTTCACCTACACTTACAAGCACCAATGTTGTAAGTACTTCTGATGCATCAACCACACCACAAATTACGTCTACTACAGGCGGAACCGTTGCATCATCCACACCGACCGATTCAACCACACAATCAGTGACTTCACCTACACTTACAAGCACCAATGTTGTAAGTACTTCTGATGCATCAACCACACCACAAATTACGTCTACCACCGGGGGAACCGTTGCATCATCCACACCGACCGATTCAACCACACAATCAGTGACTTCACCTACACTTACAAGCACCAATGTTGTAAGTACTTCTGATGCATCAACCACACCACAAATTACGTCTACTACAGGCGGAACCGTTGCATCATCCACACCGACCGATTCAACCACACAATCAGTGACTTCACCTACACTTGCAAGCACCAATGTTGTTAGTACTTCTGATGCATCAACCACACCACAAATTACGTCTACCACCGGGGGAACAGTTGCATCATCGACACCGACCGATTCAACCACACAATCAGTGACTTCACCTACACTTACAAGCACCAATGTTGTTAGTACTTCTGATGCATCAACCACACAACAAATTACGTCTACTACAGGCGGGACCGTTGCATCATCCACACCGACCGATTCAACCACACACTCAGTGACTTCACCTACACTTGCAAGCACCAATGTTGTTAGTACTTCTGATGCATCAACCACACCACAAATTACGTCTACTACCGGGGCAACCGTTGCATCATCCACACCGACCGATTCAACCACACAATCAGTGACTTCACCTACACTTGCAAGCACCAATGTTGTTAGTACTTCTGATGCATCAACCACACCACAAATTACGTCTACTACAGGCGGAACAGTTGCATTATCCACACCGACCGATTCATCCACACACTCAGTGACTTCACCTACACTTGCAAGCACCAATGTTGTTAGTACTTCTGATGCATCAACCACACCACAAATTACGTCTACTACCGGCGGAACCGTTGCATCATCGACACCGACCGATTCAACCACACAATCAGTGACTTCACCTACACTTGCAACCACCAATGTTGTTGATGCATCCACACAACAAATTACTTCGTTGCATCATGCATCAACCACAACAGTGAAAATTACGTACCAATACAGCATTTGATGGTCTACTACCGGGGACCGTTGCATCATCCACACCGACCGATTCAACCACACAATCAGTGACTTCACCTACACTTACAACCACCAATGTTGTTAGTACTTCTGATGCATCAACCACACAACAAATTACGTCTACAAACCGGGGGAACCGTTGCATCATCCACACCGACCGATTCAACCACACAATCAGTGACTTCACCCTACACTTACAAGTACCAATGTTGTAAGTACTTCTGATGCATCAACCACACCACAAATTACGTCTACTACCGGCGGAACCGTTGCATCATCGACACCGACCGATTCAACCACACAATCAGTGACTTCACCTACACTTACAAGCACCAATGTTGTTAGTACTTCTGATGCATCAACCACACCACAAATTACGTCTACTACCGGCGGAAGTGTTGCATCATCCACACCGACCGATTCAACCACACAATCAGTGACTTCACCTACACTTACAACCACCAATGTTGTAAGTACTTCTGATGCATCCACACAACAAATTACGTCTACTACCGGGGGAACCGTTGCATCATCCACACCGACGGACTCAACCACACAATCAGTGACTTCACCTACACTTACAAGTACCAATGTTGTAAGTACTTCTGATGCATCAACTACACCACAAATTACGTCTACTACCGGGGGAACTGTTGCATCATCCACACCGACCGATTCAACCACACAATCAGTGACTTCACCTACACTTACAACCACCAATGTTGTAAGTACTTCTGATGCATCAACCACACAACAAATTACGTCTACAACCGGGGGAACCGTTGCATCATCCACACCGACGGACTCAACCACACAATCAGTGACTTCACCTACACTTACAAGTACCAATGTTGTAAGTACTTCTGATGCATCAACTACACCACAAATTAAGTCTACTACCGGGGGAACTGTTGCATCATCCACACCGACCGATTCAACCACACAATCAGTGACTTCACCTACACTTACAAGCACCAATGTTGTTAGTACTTCTGATGCATCAACCACACCACAAATTACGTCTACTACCGGCGGAAGTGTTGCATCATCCACACCGACCGATTCAACCACACAATCAGTGACTTCACCTACACTTACAACCACCAATGTTGTAAGTACTTCTGATGCATCAACCACACAACAAATTACGTCTACTACCGGGGAACCGTTGCATCATCCACACCGACGGATTCAACCACACAATCAGTGACTTCACCTACACTTACAAGCACCAATGTTGTAAGTACTTCTGATGCATCAACCACACCACAAATTACGTCTACTACCGGGGAACTGTTGCATCATCCACACCGACCGATTCAACCACACAATCAATGACTTCACCTACACATACAAGCACCAATGTTGTTAGTACTTGATGCATCAACCACACCACAAATTACGTCTACTACCGGGGAACCGTTGCATCATCCACACCGACGGACTCAACCACACAATCAGTGACTTCACCTACACTTACAACCACCAATGTTGTAAGTACTTCTGATGCATCAACTACACCACAAATTACGTCTACTACCGGGGGAACTGTTGCATCATCCACACCGACCGATTCAACCACACAATCAATGACTTCACCTACACTTACAAGCACCAATGTTGTTAGTACTTCTGATGCATCAACCACACCACAAATTACGTCTACTACCGGCGGAACTGTTGCATCATCCACACCGACCGATTCAACCACACAATCAGTGACTTCACCTACACTTACAAGCACCAATGTTGTAAGTACTTCTGATGCATCAACCACACCACAAATTACGTCTACTACCGGGGGAACTGTTGCATCATCCACACCGACCGATTCATCCACACAATCAGTGACTTCACCTACACTTACAAGCACCAATGTTGTTAGTACTTCTGATGCATCAACCACACCACAAATTACGTCTACCACCGGGGGAACCGTTGCATCATCCACACCGACCGATTCAACCACACAATCAGTGACTTCACCTACACTTACAAGTACCAATGTTGTAAGTACTTCTGATGCATCAACCACACCACAAATTACGTCTACTACCGGCGGAACTGTTGCATCATCCACACCGACCGATTCAACCACACAATCGGTGACTTCACCTACACATACAAGCACCAATGTTGTAAGTACTTCTGATGCATCAACTACACCACAAATTACGTCTACTACCGGCGGAACTGTTGCATCATCCACACCGGCCGATTCAACCACACAATCAGTGACTTCACCTACACTTACAACCACCAATTTTGTAAGTACTTCTGATGCATCAACCACACAACAAATTACGTCTACTACCGGGGGAACCGTTGCATCATCCACACCGACGGACTCAACCACACAATCAGTGACTTCACCTACACTTACAAGTACCAATGTTGTAAGTACTTCTGATGCATCAACTACACCACAAATTAAGTCTACTACCGGGGGAACTGTTGCATCATCCACACCGACCGATTCAACCACACAATCAGTGACTTCACCTACACTTACAAGCACCAATGTTGTTAGTACTTCTGATGCATCAACCACACCACAAATTACGTCTACTACCGGCGGAAGTGTTGCATCATCCACACCGACCGATTCAACCACACAATCAGTGACTTCACCCGACACTTACAACCACCAATGTTGTAAGTACTTCTGATGCATCCACACAACAAATTACGTCTACTACCGGGGAACCGTTGCATCATCCCCACCGACGGACTCAACCACACAATCAGTGACTTCACCTACACTTACAAGTACCAATGTTTGTAAGTACTTCTGATGCATCAACTACACCCAAATTACGTCTACTACCGGGGAACTGTTGCATCATCCACACCGACCGATTCAACCACACAATCAATGACTTCACCTACACTTTTACAAGCACCAATGTTGTTAGTACTTCTGATGCATCAACCACACCACAAATTACGTCTACTACCGGCGGAACTGTTGCATCATCCACACCGACCGATTCAACCACACAATCAGTGACTTCACCTACACTTACAAGCACCAATGTTGTAAGTACTTCTGATGCATCAACCACACCACAAATTACGTCTACTACCGGGGGAACTGTTGCATCATCCACACCGACCGATTCAACCACACAATCAGTGACTTCACCTACACTTACAAGCACCAATGTTGTAAGTACTTCTGATGCATCAACTACACCACAAATTACGTCTACTACCGGCGGAACTGTTGCATCATCCACACCGACCGATTCAACCACACAATCAGTGACTTCACCTACACTTACAACCACCAATGTTGTAAGTACTTCTGATGCATCAACTACACCACAAATTACGTCTACTACCGGGGAACTGATGCATCATCCACAATTGACCGGACCGATTCAACCACACAATCAATGACTTCACCTACACTTACAAGCACCAATGTTGTTAGTACTTCTGATGCATCAACCACACCACAAATTACGTCTACTACCGGCGGAACTGTTGCATCATCCCCACCGACGGACTCAACCACACAATCAGTGACTTCACCTACAGTTACAAGCACCAATGTTGTAAGTACTTCTGATGCATCAACCACACCACAAATTACGTCTACTACCGGGGAACTGTTGCATCATCCACACCGACCGATTCAACCACACAATCAGTGACTTCACCTACACTTATAAGCACCAATGTTAAAGGCTTCTGATGCATCAACTACACCGCAAATTACGTCTACTACCGGCGGAACTGTTGCATCATCCACACCGACCGATTCAACCACACAATCAGTGACTTCACCTACACTTACAAACACCAATGTTGTAAGTACTTCTGATGCATCAACCACACCACAAATTACGTCTACTTCCGGCGGAACCGTTGCATCATCCACACCGACCGATTCAACCACACAATCAGTGACTTCACCTACACTTACAAGCACCAATGTTGTAAGTACTTCTGATGCATCAACCACACCACAAATTACGTCTACTACCGGCGGAACCGTTGCATCATCCCACCGACCGATTCAACCACAATCAGTGACTTCACCTACACTTACAAGCACCAATGTTGTAAGTACTTCTGATGCATCAACCACACCACAAATTACGTCTACTACCGGCGGAAGCGTTGCATCATCCACACCGACGGACTCAACCACACAATCAGTGACTTCACCTACACTTACAAGCACCAATGTTGTTAGTACTTCTGATGCATCAACCACACCACAAATTACGTCTACTAATGTTGGGGAACCGTTGCATCATCCACACCGACGGACTCAACCACACAATCAGTGACTTCACCTACACTTACAAGTACCAATGTTGTTGTAAGTACTTCTGATGCATCAACCACACCACAAATTACGTCTACTACCGGGGGAACTGTTGCATCATCCACACCGACCGATTCAACCACACAATCAATGACTTCACCTACACTTACAAGCACCAATGTTGTTAGTACTTCTGATGCATCAACCACACCACAAATTACGTCTACTACCGGCGGAACTGTTGCATCATCCACACCGACCGATTCAACCACACAATCAGTGACTTCACCTACACTTACAAGCACCAATGTTGTAAGTACTTCTGATGCATCAACCACACCACAAATTACGTCTACTACCGGGGGAACTGTTGCATCATCCACACCGACCGATTCAACCACACAATCAGTGACTTCACCTACACTTACAAGCACCAATGTTGTAAGTACGGACTCAACCTTCTGATGCATCAACTGCACCACAAATTACGTCTACTACCGGCGGAACTGTTGCATCATCCACACCGACCGATTCAACCCACAATCAGTGACTTCACCTACACTCACAACCACCAATGTTGTAAGTACTTCTGATGCATCAACCACACAACAAATTACGTCTACTACCGGGGGAACCGTTGCATCATCCACACCGACGGACTCAACCACACAATCAGTGACTTCACCTACACTTACAAGTACCAATGTTGTAAGTACTTCTGATGCATCAACCACACAACAAATTACGTCTACTACCGGGGGAACCGTTGCATCATCCACACCGACCGATTCAACCACACAATCAGTGACTTCACCTACACTTACAAACACCAATGTTTTAAGTACTTCTGATGCATCAACCACACCACAAATTACGTCTACTACCGGCGGAACCGTTGCATCATCCACACCGACCGATTCAACCACACAATCAGTGACTTCACCTACACTTACAAGCACCAATGTTGTAAGTACTTCTGATGCATCAACCACACCACAAATTACGTCTACTACCGGCGGAACCGTTGCATCATCCACACCGACCGATTCAACCACACAATCAGTGACTTCACCTACACTTACAAGCACCAATGTTGTAAGTACTTCTGATGCATCAACCACACCACAAATTACGTCTACTACCGGCGGAACTGTTGCATCATCCACACCGACCGATTCAACCACACAATCAGTGACTTCATCTACACTTACAAGCACCAATGTTGTAAGTACTTCTGATGCATCAACCACACCACAAATTACGTCTACTACAGGCGGAACCGTTGCATCATCCACACCGACCGATTCAACCACACAATCAGTGACTTCACCTACACTTACAAGCACCAATGTTGTAAGTACTTCTGATGCATCAACCACACCACAAATTACGACTACTACCGGCGGAACTGTTGCATCATCCACACCGACGGACTCAACCACACAATCAGTGACTTCACCTACACTTACAAGCACCAATGTTGTTAGTACTTCTGATGCATCAACCACACCACAAATTACGTCTACTACCGGGGGAACCGTTGCATCATCCACACCGACGGACTCAACCACACAATCAGTGACTTCACCTACACTTACAAGCACCAATGTTGTAAGTACTTCTGATGCATCAACCACACCACGAATTACGTCTACTACCGGCGGAACTGTTGCATCATCCACACCGACGGACTCAACCACACAATCAGTGACTTCACCTACACTTACAAGCACCAATGTTGTTAGTACTTCTGATGCATCAACCACACCACAAATTACGTCTACTACAGGCGGAACCGTTGCATCATCCACACCGACCGATTCAACCACACAATCAGTGACTTCACCTACGCCCCACAAGCACCAATGTTGTAAGTACTTTGATGCATCAACCACACCACGAATTACGTCTACTACCGGCGGAACTGTTGCATCATCCACACCGACGGACTCAACCACACAATCAGTGACTTCACCTACACTTACAAGTACCAATGTTGTAAGTACTTCTGATGCATCAACCACACCACAAATTACGTCTACTACCGGCGGAACTGTTGCATCATCCACACCGACGGACTCAACCACACAATCTGTGACTTCACCTACACTTACAACCACCAATATTGTAAGTACTTCTGATGCATCAACCACACAACAAATTACGTATACTACCGGCGGAACTGTTGCATCATCCACACCGACGGACTCAACCACACAATCAGTGACTTCATCTACACTTACAAGTACCAATGTTGTTAGTACTTCTGATGCATCAAACACACCACAAATTACGTCTACTACCGGCGGAACTGCTGCATCATCCACACCGACCGATTCAACCACACAATCAGTGACTTCACCTACACTTACAAGCACCAATGTTGTAAGTACTTCTGATGCATCAACCACACCACAAATTACGTCTACTACCGGCGGAACTGTTGCATCATCCACACCGACCGATTCAACCACACAATCAGTAACTTCACCTACACTTACAAGCACCAATGTTGTAAGTACTTCTGATGCATCAACCACACCACAAATTACGTCTACTACCGGCGGAACCGTTGCATCATCCACACCGACCGATTCAACCACACAATCAGTGACTTCACCTACGCACAAGCACCAATGTTGTAAGTACTTCTGATGCATCAACCCACACCACAAATTACGTCTACTACCGGCGGAACTGTTGCATCATCCACACCGACCGATTCAATCACACAATCAGTGACTTCATCTACACTTACAAGCACAATGTTGTAAGTACTTCTGATGCATCAACCACACCACAAATTACGTCTACTACAGGCGGAACCGTTGCATCATCATCACACATCGACCGATTCAACCCACAATCAGTGACTTCGACCATTCAACCACACTTACAAGCACCAATGTTGTGGTACTTCTGATGCATCAACCACACCACAAATTACGTCTACTACCGGCGGAACCGTTGCATCATCCACACCGACCGATTCAACCACACAATCAGTGACTTCACCTACACTTACAAGCACCAATGTTGTAAGTACTTCTGATGCATCAACCACACCACGAATTACGTCTACTACCGGCGGAACTGTTGCATCATCCACACCGACGGACTCAACCACACAATCAGTGACTTCACCTACACTTACAAGTACCAATGTTGTAAGTACTTCTGATGCATCAACCACACCACAAATTACGTCTACTACCGGCGGAACTGTTGCATCATCCACACCGACCGATTCAACCACACAATCAATGACTTCACCTACACTTACAAGCACCAATGTTGTTAGTACTTCTGATGCATCAGCCACACAACAAATTACGTCTACTACCGGGGGAACCGTTGCATCATCCACACCGACCGATTCAACCACACAATCAGTGACTTCACCTACACTTACAAGCACCAATGTTGTAAGTACTTCTGATGCATCAACCACACCACAAATTACGTCTACTAACGGGGGAACCGTTGCATCATCCACACCGCCCGATTCAACCACACAATCAGTGACTTCACCTACACTTACAAGCACCAATGTTGTAAGTACTTCTGATGCATCAACCACACCACAAATTACGTCTACTACCGGCGGAACCGTTGCATCATCCACACCGACCGATTCAACCACACAATCTGTTACTTCTACACTTACAAGTACACCATAAATTACGACCAGTACATGTGGAACCTATGCCCTATTTACAGCCTTTATTTCAACACCATGCTTTTTTTTTCCCAAATTACTTTTTCTTATTTTGCTTGTGGTCTTCCGAATTTTTTTTTTTTTTTTTTTGGCATTTGTTCGTTGGACTAACTGCAATTAGTTTTCTTTCGGTCTTAAATATTCTCTTGACAATAAATAATGCTTCTTTTGTTTCAGATGATAAATCAAAAATTGCCTCTGATGATCTCATTCCACTTAGTCCCACACTGAATTAATACTTTTTGCTGTAGCAAAACCCCTTTTCCTCTCCTTCGACAATTCTTTTTATAATTTTCTAATCACAAATCCTTTTTTAGTGGATAGAGGGCGGCAAATCTCACTCGGCTTTTGCAAATCGAGCTTTTCTCTCAATCTTGTCTTTACTCTGTATTCCATAAATTTTGGTATGCTTCATCTCGTGTCCAAGACAGATTGATATATAAAATGTATCCCTTTCACACACTGTTTGGATTATCATCTTCTTTATATTTTAAGTACAATTATTCTCTCTCTCCATGATTAGGCGATACAGTATTTTCTGAAACTCTGTTATGTGTCTTTTCGGCAGGGTAATACACCATTTTCTCCTTTTCAAAACGAATGAAGCCATCATTTGTTTGTATCTTTAACTTGGCGGGAACATATATAAAAACAAAGAACCCTCGAAGAAATTGACAATATTTTATCTTCCTTTTTTTAAATATCGTACAAGAAAAAAATGAAAGGAATTACACTGAAATATTTCGCTGAGAAATCTGCCAATCATGACGCTGGATCAAAAGAACTTGATACTAAAATGAGATTTCATTCTCAAATAGTATTTGACAAAATGACAATTACACAAATCAAATGTATAAAACATAAGAAATATGAAACATTTGACAGTGCTTCACACACCATTGACAAAGTCTATACGCCTTGTTTTAAAAGTGAAGGCATTATCCTTTTACTGAATTAATTCTTTCAATACATTCAGCCTGATTGACCAAATATAATTGCATTTCTTCTACTTTTCGCATTGCATTTATATTCCGATTCTATTCAATTTCCATATTTTGTTGCATATAAGACGCATTTTTATCTCTATAAAATATCTCCAAAAACCACACTCCGTCCTATAAATCGAAAGTCGGTGACGAGAGTTTGGGCCGTGGGTGAGCTTCGGCTCCCATTAACATCCGATTCTGAGTCCTTGAAATTAAGTCCAATTAAGTTAAGAACATCCCATTAATCTACTGGTTACAAAGCAGTATCATTTAAGGTAGACATATTTTTAGATACTTTAATGTGATATAAAAACATAC